AGAGCGGGAGAGGTGAGACGTGTGTTCAGGGCGGTAACTGAGAGTTAAACTAAAGCTGTATGGCTGATGCTTGGCTTTGCTTAATCTCAAAAAAAAAAAAAAAGGCAGCAATAAAAATGTGGAATGATTATTAGGGGAAAATGACTTTGGTAAATGTAGACAGAATGATGCAAAGGTACAAGCCAGTTAGGTCAGATTATTTTTGAAAACTATTTTGAACAGCAAGAAAGACTACTTTCCTCACCAATAAATTCTTCTAGAATCGAAGTAATGAAGCCATACTTAAGATTTGGCTCAAATCTTAATGTTATTTAACATAGGTTACTGAAAGACTATTCAAATAGAGAGAATATCTATTTTCATGCTTTTAACATTTTTTCTTTTAATGAGAAATAGTTGTACTAAAGAGAACTTCTGGTTATCCAGTCGCTATCTTCATTTCCACTCCGTGTCTTCAGCTAAAGCACAAAGAAAAACAGTGAGGCCACCTTACTTAACCCGTTCTCTTTTATTAAAGATTCCCCAAGGCTTTTACTTGGAGAAGGTAAAGGAATATTCTCATCCATTTATTAAACAACTCAACTAAAGTCAAAAGACATCCAAGTGCGACTAGTTATAAAAACTCTCAATGTGTGTTCCCGTCTCAGACACTTGAACAGTTATGACAAAGGGAACTCGAACACAAATCATTGGTTGCTTTCCTAGTAAAACAATATTGCTTATGGGTCTTAATTTTCTCTAATTTAGTGCTTTGAGTCATCCATTCTTTAAACTATCCTTCCTCCAAACCAAAAAGATATTAATACATTTTAAATAAAACTGCTATTGATGACAAAACATCCCAATTTTTTAAACTTAAGTTTTGCTTTTGCTGAAAGTCTACCATTTTGGTATGTTAAGTATGAAGTGCAGTGCAGACTTTTATCAAGGTTTTAAGTGGGACTCAGCAGTGAAAAAATGCCACCAGCCACTTTTGTAGTAACGTATCTTCAATGCCATCATGTATGCAAGCAATAAAATTCTTCAGGGTATGGTTTTATACTGAAAATACTGGGTTGTCGGAAAAGTTGTGTCATATTTTATGTCATGACTTTTCTGACAACCCAATATAATAGCAAGGCCACAAAGATAGAATAATTAACTTCCTAGATGTGATAGATACTGTCATTCAGACTGCTGAGTAACGACAGGGGACAGCAAGGCCAGGATGCAGCATCCTTCAGGTTCAAATGACAAGAGGATTTTTACTTTCATCAAGGGCGTGGACAGTGAACAGTTAATGCACATCTGGACAACTTTATGGGGCTACCTTTTCTTTTCCATGAAATTTAATTTTACAAACAAATTCATGTACTTTATCTTCACTCTGTGATCTATCCCTTCTTTTTTTTTTTTTTTTCTTTTTTTTTTTAAGGTTTTTGCCATAGGGTATGTGTGCTCACCAGAGAGACAGATAAACATTGAGAAGGAAAAGTGAAAAATCACCCCCAGGCAGGGGGATGGTCATGCCGCAATCTCTCCACCTGCATTCTCCTCCTGGGATTTTGGGCACGACCCACACGTGCACACGTGCTCTGTGTGATTTTCAAGCCGGCAGGTCTGGGACTCAGCTCGCTATGGTGGGAGTCCAGCGCCTTAACCTCTACACCACCTGCTGCCTCCCTCCCTGTTTTGTTTTTTTAACTGAAACCAGATTTTTTAAATTACAAACTTTTTACAGGAACTAACTTTTTAAATGTACCCTGTCCCCATATGTAGATATACATTTGAATTCTTTTTAAGAACAAGCACTTGCTCTAGTCATAAATGTATAAAGAAACTAAACCTCATGGTACTGCAGGGTTGTGAAAGATTCATTGATGCCTTCTGAAAACCTTGTATCAGAAATACTTCTGTGGATCCCCATTTCTGTGTCACTTTTTCTTGTCTCTTCTCTGTGGAAACACAGTGGATTCTTTTTCCTTCAAATTGTAGATCTCATTTCTGGTTACATCAAAGCCTTAAGTTCTTTTTCTGAGCATAGCGTCTGTGATAACCTCTGGCGATGATCTTTCTGCGTTAGATGTACCTTGAGGAGCAAGCACCAATGGGAGCAAACATAAACTTCTGGGGAACAAAGGGTTTAGTTTGGTTTCTGCAGGTATCCTCGCTGTACAGCAGAGTGGAAGATTAACTGAAATTCCTGTATCACATGATGTTCATGTTAGCAGGTCTAAGCCTAAGCACATGGTATTTATAAGCTAAAATGAATCTGAAAGACGAGAATGTCTTAGTGTTCTCATTCTTAAATTTGTATTCTCCAAGAATGTATTAATGTAAGAACTGGGACTAACCAGTTCCTATTCCTTTAGTCTGTGTTGGCATCTGTAGTAAATCATGTTACTTTTTCATTCTTACCCAATTTTATTAGAATCAAACGACTTTTTATTTTCATACTACTATCTACTATAGATTTTCTGATTAGAAAATATGAGTATGATATATAAAGATCACTAAACTATTGGAAAAAAAACCCTTTCTGTGAATTTATACATATATGTATATATGTGAAAAACACTTGATTTTCAATTCTGTCTCCATAGGAATGAGATTTTCTATAAAAAAATTTTTAACTTAAATATTTTAACATAAATTATTTACGTGGGCTTTTATGTATAATTCATCCTTATATATGTCCCTCAATCATGTAGTTGCGAGAAGACAACTGTTTTTACAAATAGGGTGGATAAAAATAAGATTAGAAACCCTGCTGCCTCCCTCCCTGTTTTGTTTTTTTAACTGAAACCAGATTTTTTAAATTACAAACTTTTTACAGGAACTAACTTTTTAAATGTACCCTGTCCCCATATGTAGATATACATTTGAATTCTTTTTAAGAACAAGCACTTGCTCTAGTCATAAATGTATAAAGAAACTAAACCTCATGGTACTGCAGGGTTGTGAAAGATTCATTGATGCCTTCTGAAAACCTTGTATCAGAAATACTTCTGTGGATCCCCATTTCTGTGTCACTTTTTCTTGTCTCTTCTCTGTGGAAACACAGTGGATTCTTTTTCCTTCAAATTGTAGATCTCATTTCTGGTTACATCAAAGCCTTAAGTTCTTTTTCTGAGCATAGCGTCTGTGATAACCTCTGGCGATGATCTTTCTGCGTTAGATGTACCTTGAGGAGCAAGCACCAATGGGAGCAAACATAAACTTCTGGGGAACAAAGGGTTTAGTTTGGTTTCTGCAGGTATCCTCGCTGTACAGCAGAGTGGAAGATTAACTGAAATTCCTGTATCACATGATGTTCATGTTAGCAGGTCTAAGCCTAAGCACATGGTATTTATAAGCTAAAATGAATCTGAAAGACGAGAATGTCTTAGTGTTCTCATTCTTAAATTTGTATTCTCCAAGAATGTATTAATGTAAGAACTGGGACTAACCAGTTCCTATTCCTTTAGTCTGTGTTGGCATCTGTAGTAAATCATGTTACTTTTTCATTCTTACCCAATTTTATTAGAATCAAACGACTTTTTATTTTCATACTACTATCTACTATAGATTTTCTGATTAGAAAATATGAGTATGATATATAAAGATCACTAAACTATTGGAAAAAAAACCCTTTCTGTGAATTTATACATATATGTATATATGTGAAAAACACTTGATTTTCAATTCTGTCTCCATAGGAATGAGATTTTCTATAAAAAAATTTTTAACTTAAATATTTTAACATAAATTATTTACGTGGGCTTTTATGTATAATTCATCCTTATATATGTCCCTCAATCATGTAGTTGCGAGAAGACAACTGTTTTTACAAATAGGGTGGATAAAAATAAGATTAGAAACTGAAACCAGCAAGAAAGAAGAAAGAGGTAGACAGAAAGACTGCTGGTCTTCAGACCAGAGCAAAGTAGGTTAAAAGAAGAGGGAAATACTTAAAATGCAGAAGGGATATTACATAAATCTATGTAGTGCCAGCTCTTGGGATCCATTGCACTCAGGTTTTTGACCTTGGCTTCTAAATTATACAGTACAATAGCTTATCACATTTTTTCCCCTTTGGGACTTTAAAAAAAAATTTCATTCATTTCGGCCATTTTCTGCACCTTTTACTGAAGGGGAAATAAATCTCTCTAAAGTCTATCATGGTCTTCTATTTTCTGGATTGAGCGTTTGACAGAATGCAGCATCTTTTCTGTTTTGAGATGAAATAGCACATGGCTTCTACAAGGCAGTTTTAAACTTGTTGGGGTCACTGAGAGTCACATTATGGTTACCCCTGTCCCTAAAATTCATTGTGGTAGATATAGTGAAAATTAATTCAAGAAATCTTATAGCATATTTTAATAAGTGAATACCAAATACATAGTGAAATAAATATAGGTCTGAGAAGAAACATAATAGTCTGTGGGAACCATTATAATAACAGAATTGCATTATATTACACAGTGTATGGATATTGGAATGTATCACGGGGGGGAGGGGGTTGTCTCTTCATTAGCAGAACAATCGTGTCTGTATATAAAACATTTTTTTAAAAAACCAAACTAGCATTTCATTTTGTGAGTGACAATTGACTGATTTTTTAATGTGTTGTCTGGATTTTTCCTGACTGATGAATTTGAAAAGTTATGTTATCAGAATTTTACAGTTGACTCCAGTGTGAAAGCGTACACAAGTAAATTTTCTTTTCTAGCAATATGAATGTAAAATACTTGCAGATAGTGTATATATTGTGTAACATATGTATATTTGGTCATGAAAGCAGAAAATTAGAAACATTGTAAAATTAAGCACTTTAATTCCTATTAAATATTAAACATTTGTATCTTGTAAATAAACACATCCTTCAATCAACTCTAAAGCCTAAGATGTCATTTTGGTCAAGAATTTTTTCTGTTCAGTTCATAATGATTTTGGTTGTTGGCTTAGAAAAACTACCCTGGTAGGGTCCTCATGGTTCCTCCTATTCCAGACCCCAC